AAGACAAGTAACTGCTTCTGGTGCCTTTCAAGTGGCAACCTTGATAGTTTCCAGGTCAGTCTTTTTAGATTATTAGGCCATTTACATTGCACTGGCCTCTGGCTGACATGCCAATCACTCTGAGCCCCTCTGGTTGGGTTGGCTTTGCCTTTAGAGCTGTTGCCCTCTTAAACTCTGGGATTAGGAAGGGCTCCTGGAGGAACAGTTCTGTTATCTAGCTCTTCTTTCCTGGCTTAATTTTCTAAGAGATTTACTGAGCATCCGCTGGGTCTGCACAGTGTCAAAATCCAGAAGCGAGCCAGGGGAGCTTATTACAAGCAGACTGAGAAAGAATATTGGGAAAACTTTGCTCTTACATGGTTTACCATCTTAAGTTTTCTTCCAGTGAAAAATAGCTCAACTCAACTGAAGAAGTGTTGAATGTCTTGGGCACTATGCTTTTCTCTTTTGAATCTTTGTTAGTGTTTTTTCCTTTATTAATTATAAGTGAAATGTACCCTTATAAAGTGAATTGTGATGCTCTTGAGTGTCTAGGAAGTTATGTAGGATATATATATGTATATATATATATTTCTTCTACTAAGAGGGGACATACATGGGTTTGTTTGGATAAAGATTAGGTTTGATGATGTCTGGGACTGACAGTGACAATGGGGTCTGAATATTTCTTTTCCTTTGGAGTGAAGGGTAGGATTACATACCATGAGGTTAAAGAGAGTGACTTTAAGCTCCAGGGAATCATCTCAGCTTCATGATCATCATAGCTAGCGATTTCTGAACGTGTACTCCATGCCAGAGCATGTTCTGAGGTCTTTTATGTGTCATCATATCTAATTCCTAAAAGATCCCATGAGGTTATTTTGACAAGCTGCTGCAGCCACCAGAGCAGTGAGTGAAGGACTTTGCATCTGCCTTTAGTTTCTCATGCTAGAGGAAGCTGTGTGACTGTGACTCTTCAATGTGTGTATGTCTTTGTGTGTGTGTGGAGGGGCGTGTGTGCATGTGGAGGCCAGCAGTTGGCATTGTGTGTCTTTTTCAATCACTGTCCATTTTACTTTATGAGACAGGATCTTTCACTGAATCCAGAGCTCCCTGATTTGCCTGGACTGGCTGGCTAGAGAACTCCCAGGATCTATCTGTCTCTACCTCCCCAGGGCTGGGATTGCAGGCACATACCATCATGCTCAGCTTTTTTGTGGATGCTGGGGATCTGAACTCAGGTTCTGAGGCATGAGCAGCAAGTATTATGCATGCTGAGCCATACAACACAAATTTAGATTATGGTAAACGCTAATTACCCATTTAATACTATCTTAGTAAAGACTAAAGGTGACTCTGATACTGATTTTCTTTTCCTATTCTTTGAATGAACTTGCATATGTATTCTTTCAAGACAGCAGAAAGTCCTTCAAATACTTAAAAAGCGTCACATTGCTCTCCAAACGTGACTGTACCTTGGTCTCCATTAGCGCTGACTTTACTCAAGTTTGAGCCAAAGCATATTCAAAGTCAAAGAGACTTTGTTGCTTTAACCTCAGACTTTGACACTAAGTTCCCCTATGAGAACCTCAAGGCATTAAGTGCAAGTTTTCTTCTGTAGAAACATGTTGTGTCCTGGAACCATGTGGTAAAAAAATCCTATCTGCTCTCCAGTAGCCACACAAATAAGGATCAGATCTTACTTGTGCAATACAGACACTCAAAAATGTCTTTTCTTGTTAGAGATGATAATCTCTTGTACAATACAAAGACTCAAAAGTGGCTTTTCTCTTTAGCTACTCCACTTGTTCCCTAGGTTCTACAGTCTTAATGACAAGTGTAGGGGAAGGGTAAATTATTAAGGCAATTTTGGAATCACTGGCCAATCATTTACCTGGGTTATTGTGACTTCCAAATATTTCTGTTTTCCTCATAGATTCCAAATCACTCAAGTCATTTCCTTGGTCACTTTTGTTGCTTTCTTCATTGTGTCTTTTACTGTACTTGAGAAAAATGCTCAAAAATCAGTTTCCAGGAATTCCATCTCTTTTTTAAATACAGTTAAATGGAGCCTCCCTTCCTTTAATTTTTAATGTGCTATTAATATGATATATTAGATAATAATGATAGTATACATAGATCCACTCATAGGAATTGACAAAGGAAGTGATTAAGAAGCAGCTCGATGATGATGCTTGTGTTCTTCAGCCAGAACAAGGTGTGACAGATGGTAGGGATGAGAAAGAACTTGCTTGCAGAGAGTTGCTGCCTTACTGTCACTTGATGGAGCTGTGGGTCATCTACCTGGCATCTTGAGAAGATGATTGTTGGTCTTTCTGTGTCTTTCACTTCAAGCCTACTGAGAAGGTTCCCATGGAAACACAAAGCTTGCAATATGCTCCTTGATATTGGGAAACTTGCAGAACTTGAGAAGGCCACAGCCATTGTAGAAGCAGGGAAGTATTGTCTGCTTAGGATCATCCTGGACTCAGAATTTATAGGGCTAAAGGATGCATTAGTGCTTCTTTTGGATGAAGCGTGGGCCATATAGTAGAAAGAACTATTGTCTAGTTATCTTGTATTCTGTCAAAAAAGAGCCATACCAAGAGGCAGAGGGTTCCCAAGAGCAAGACTCCAGACACCAAATACTAGATCCTAAAACATATAAAAAGCATACAAATGTTAGTTGAGAATAAACGGTACCTCTAACACAGATGGCATTGGAAGGGGGGTAGAAGGATATCAGTCTGAGGATAAACCTGAAGATATGAGGGATGGATTATAGCACAGGCCGGGCATTGCTAGTAGAGACCCATATTTAGATGACACAGACTTATTAGAATATAAACTCCAGAAAAAGGCAAGTACCATGATTATTTCACCCAAAATAACATTTTCAGTACCTGGCAACATGCCTGGAATGGAATAGTGGCTCAATAAATATTGAACAAATGGATGCTACTATTTGAGTGTACAGGCTTCATTTCTGAAATTTGTTTTAAGTTCTTTGGCAGAAGGGATTGTTAAGCTAAAGCAGCCTACTGCTAAGTGCTTACACATTAGGGCAAACAATGTGTTCATATGTTCTTGGTGGAAATATCTGTTCCACAAGAGTTTGACATCTCTCTAGTACTCATAGTGCATGTTTAGGGAAAGATTTATCTCTGTGTGTCTATGTGTGCAAGTGTGCATTTGGGTATGCAGGTGCATGCATCTGTGGTGCATGTGAGGAGGCAGAGAAGGATGTCCTGCCCTATTAGTATCTACCTTATTCCACTGAGACAGGATCTCTAACTGAACCTGGAGATCACTGTTTTTTCATCCAAGCTTCCTATCCAGTGAGACTCTGTTTCTCCTCCACACTCCCAGCACTGGGATCACAGGCATGTGTGGCTACATCTGGCTTTTTATGTGGGCTCTGGAAATCTGAACTCAGGTCCTCATTCTTGCTCAGCAAGAACTCTCACCCACAGAACCATCTCTGCAGCTCTGGAAAGATTTCTTAGTATTAAGAAACTGTAAAGCAAACCTGAACTCATGAGAGAGAAGTTTGGAACTAATAATTTCCAACATTGTTTAAATTCCCATCTAAATAACCTGTCTGATATTCTGAATAGCAAATCTGGGTTCTATCTGTTCCTCTCCACCTGTTCTCACTGCCCCGTTATGAAATTTCCAGGCTCTCCCTCACGTGTTTTGGTCTGTTGCCTGCCTTTTTATCCATTCCAGGTGAATGGCCTCAGGAGTTTGAAAGAATCACTTCATTGTTCTGTGGCAATACTGAATGCATTCGTTCTGATTTCTCGGCTCCCGATTTTTCGGCTCCACACTCTACTGCCTGTGTGGTAGACCTTCCTCTTTGTCCCCACACAGCCTGAAGTCCATTTTCTATGGGAAGATAACCAATGTCTTTGGATAATGTGTCAAGCATTATGTTCCATGCTTTTTATTATCATATCGGTAAGTACTATACTACTAATAACATCGGACATTATTTTGCATTGTGCTGAGTTGTACCTGAAATGCACCCTGAGGGAGGGACCAGGTTATACAGGGCAAAGTCACATGATAAGGTTTTAATCATATCTTGTGACAAATAGGCATCCATGGAGAATATAAAGAAAGGATTTCTGTTGGCTCCATTCATCATGTGTTCAGAGGACATAGAGGGTGTCTTTGGTGATGTCTGGGCAGTGTTACAAAAGTGAGGCATGCTACATCCTCATGGGACTTAGGAGGCACAGAGTGTGCTTGCCTTCACGGAAAAAGATGATAGCTTCTTACACAATTTTCATTCCCATTCTGGCTTTCCCCTGCCCTTCCCGCTTCTAATGACTTACTGCCAAGCTCTGAACTGTTGCTTACCTAGGTCATTAAGGTTGTGTCCTTGGAGCAGCCCCAGACTTCTTTTTGATTGACTTGTACTTGGTAGAGATTTCAAATGCAATTTTACACATATTTTGAGTTATTATTAAAATGATCACCAGTTGACACTTCCCCACTCATTGAGTATTCTGGCTTTGGGATAGTCCTTTTTAGTTACTTAAAGATTTCATCCCTTCACTTTACAACTTGATTTTTCTAGCTATTAAAACACCAATTACCACAAAAAGTAGATCTAAGAGATAGTGTCTGAGATTATGGCAAAAAGTAAACAAACGCAAGTAGCATTCGGCAGTATTTTTAAAATTTATTTATTTATTTTTATTTTATGTATATGAGTGTATTGTCTGCATGTGTGTAAGTGCACCTGTGTTGTGCAATGCCCATGGAGGTTAGAAGAAGACAATGGATTCCCCTGGAACTGGAGTTAGGGATGGTTGTTAGCCACCATGTGGGTGCTGAGAACTGAGCCCGTATCCTCTGTAAGAGCAATCAGTGCTCTTAACCACTGAGCCATTTCTCCAGCCCTCAGCAGTATTTTTTATTAGATAGTTATTTATACAGGAGGTTCAATGAGGAAGAGCTGCAGGTATGAGATCTAGTCTCCAGTTTTTCTGGGCAGAGTTCTTCGACATTGGTCATTTCATTTTCATCAGTGTTTGTTTTAAGACCTCAGGCCCACACACGGGGGCCTTTTTTTCATATTTCAGAGCCGGCCAATCCAAGATATTAGGATTGAGAGGGGAATTCTGACACACAGATTGAATATCTACAAGGGACAGTACAGAGTCCCACACGTACAAATCCCTGAACTCTCCCACAAGAGACTAGGACTCATTAAACCCTCTTCCATGGGTATCCTGCTCCTGACCTAGGATGATACTGGCATGAGGCTCCACCCACAGTGTAACCCTTTGGCAAACCCTTTTTTACCAAAGGTTTCCCATTGACCCAAAATTCAGCAATTCCTAAAGAGGACTCCCAGGTGGTACAGAAATGCACTGGGGAAGGGAACTCTTCCATGCTCCTGGCTGTGACCTCCCATTGTCCAATGTGCAAATTATATTCTCCAACTCTTTCCTTATAAACTAGTAGCTCATTATCTCTGCTCTTGATATTGTAGGAGAAGAGACTGTGGGGGCAAGAAAGGTTGCTATAGACTTGAAAACACAGTGTGAATGTCTGCAGAGGTTTGCCCAGATTTGGGGTCACCTTCACATAATGCTTTGAATATTCTCAGCAAGGTTGCTGTCCACCAAGCCTCTAAGACCTCAGGCATTCAAACTTTTTATGTACCTCAGGTGATGATGGGTTGTGGTGGTGGTGGTGGAGGACATCAGCACTGTGTGACTTTCCAGGTTATCCTTCCGGCCAGTAATCAGAGCTGCTGTTGGAAAAGAAATGATGAAACCCTAGGCTGGGCAATCAATTGTAGTTATTTATTAGGCATAGGTGCTTGCCAGAACGCTAACCCCTGTAACCCTGACTTTATTGCTGGGAAGAGGATGGCTGCAGGTGATTGGTGGGATGAAGGGCTGGGTTGGCTAAGTCAGGAGGGCCCTGTTCCACTTTGCAGTGGCTTTTCCATCTCATGTGCTCTTCCAGAAGGGGCTGTGGGAATGTGGCATTTTCTTTTTAATATAGTTCTCCGAAGTAGGCTTCTGTGTGTAGGATACGCAGGGATTCCATTTTCTGGTGAGCACTCTGAAAAGCCTCTTTGTCTCTTTGCATTGGATTAATTAAATAGTGAGTAACCTAGCCAGGCACTACTAAAGGAATAGGGGCAGTTGCTGAACAAACTTTCTATTCCCCCAAAGCTTAGTATTTTTCTACTATTGTTACTCAGTTCTTCCTAATTAAATGTATCATGATTCGTTCTTATCTTAGATTCCTCATTTCTCATTGTGATTTTTTGGTGATATTCTACCTGCTGAAATGTCATCATCTTCCTGTTTTCTGCTCTTTTATTTGGGCCTTTGGACATTAAAGATATATTGATCAGTCTTAACTGATAACCTCATTCACACACCATTCTCACATTTACTAATTCCAAGGTACTACATTAGGTGCTGGGGATCCTATGGGGTCCAATTCTTCTATAGTCCCCTGAACTTCAGCCCTATTTTCTCTGTTACAACTTAAAAAATACACTTTATTACTAATCACTCAAACTTGCTCTGTCTATAAACTAGCAAACTGAAATTTCTCTTTCTGTCTGCTTGATTTTCTTTTTCTTTCATCTCTAAAGATTTAGAATCTTCATTCTCATCTTTTTCTATTATTATTATTATTCTCTTAAAGCTTTTTTTGCCATTGTCAGTATCATATTAAAGATGCCATTATATTTATCTCTTATCCTTTCTAGACTGAGGATGGTTATGGAATTTTGATTATATTTAGATGACTAATTTTATCAAACAACTTTTTACACATTAAAGGAACTTGATAGGTATTTATGGGATGGATCAAAGGCTTCAAATAAGGTATTTTTTATATTTATGTGTGCATTATACATATGTGCATACATGGGTGTAAAGGTATGTTCACCTCTTTATGTGCGTGTGGAAGCCAGAGGTTAACACTTAGTTCTATCTCTTTCTACCTTTCTTCTTCTTCTTCTTCTTCTTTTTTTTTTTTTGAGACAGGTTTTCCCTGTAACCCCAGTTGGACTGGAATTTGCTATGTAGATCAGACTTGGCTTGATCTCTGTGAGATCTGCCTGGTTCTGCCTCCCAAGTGCTGGGATTAAAGGCATGTGCCACCATGCCTGGATCCACCTTATTTTTTGAGACAAGGTCTTAGTGAACCTCAAGCTTGCTGTTTGGGTTAGTCTGGATGAGGGGTAATCTTTGCTTGAACCTAGAGCACATATAATCCCTAGTCCAGGTGTTAATAAGTACCATAAAATTCAGAGAATAGATTAATAAACCACTTCTTGTTTTCATCAAAAATTAATAAATTACCATTCTGTCAGCAAAAGAACGTTTGGAGATAGGTGTAGAAAGGAATCTTTTCATGGGAGATGAATCCATGGAGGCAGCCTAGGGGATAAGTAAGCCTAAAGAGATTGGAAGTATAAGATTTATACTGCCATTGGGGACAAGTGCCAGCACTTCATGGTTGGTTGCGAAAATACTGTAAAGAACAAATTTTGATTGAAAAATAGAATGGAAAGAAAATAGGAAGAGGGGGTTCTGACTTTGTTCTTTGTTTTTGTTTTTTTTTTTTTTTTCCCCCTTCTGGAATACATTTCTCAGACTTTGTAAAAAAAAAAAAAAAAAAAGCTCAGGCTTCAGCAGTCATCAAAATGGAAACCAAAGATTCTTTCTATCAGAGAAATGGAGACTCTGATGTCAAAATACAGGAAGATGAATTCTGAGTCTTCAGAATTGAGTGGAGTTCTGAGGACAACTCAACTCAGTTATTGCCCAGAGGCTTTTAGGCTCCTTTCTGCCAGTAAACATTCAAGTGGAGGTCCTGGCTCTTCTGGGTGGCTCCAGTGAGGCTGGGGAGACAGCAATGAAGGAGACAAAGGACAGCCATTCAAGCAGCTCAAGTCAGAAGTATCCTGGTTTAATCAGTCAGCGTAATAGAGTTTGCCTTTCGAGAGGACAGGGTAAGGAAGCATTGGCAGAATCAGAGTAATGTCTGATTCATGGATGCAAAGAAGCAGAGGTATACACTGTAAATAAAGTGTATCTGAAGAATTAAACAATACCTTAAAAGTACTTCTAAGGTCTTGAGTCTTTATGAGATATAAAAAGTCAGAGTAACTATTAGAAAAGACCAGAAAGGAAGAGACTGAAACAGAACACGGAGTCATACTAAACATTTTAGTGCTAAGCAAGAGTTATTTCCCACGTGTTCTGTTAACTATAAGGGTACTTATAAAACATTTGGATATAAATAGGCAATGGAGAGTTAAAGGTAAATAATTACTACCCTGATATATGGTTGTATAAAATCAAAGTTATGCAATCTTACACTTACAGAAAAGGAGGAGATTGTGAGAAGAAAAATATATAATTCTAATTCAAATTATATTTTATTTCAAACTTTTGATGCATATTAGATTAAACCATTTTCTGTTGCTGTAAGTGAATGCCAAAGACTGCATAATTTATAAATTTATAAATAATTTATATTTAACTTATAGTTATGGAGTCTGGGCTAAGAGCATGGTGCTAGCCTCTGGAATGAGTCTTTCGGCTGAATCAGGACATAGCAGAAAGCATTAGATGTGAGATGGAATAACCATGGGAGAAAAAGCTTGCTTTCATAATAAAGCCACTCTCAAGATAAGCCATCAATCTATTAATCCACAAATGACCATTCACTTCCAAAAGGCCCCATTGACATATGACTTGTGGGGAATTAAGTTTTTAAAACAGGAAATTTGAGGGATGCGCCCAAAGCATAGCATTTGCAATTTGGAAAAACTGGGGTGCTATTGTTGCAGTTCATTTGGAGGAAATGGAGGGTAGATGACAAGCTGCATTCCCCAAGTGCTAACTTTGAAATGATAGCATGACTTGTACATACAAAAGGGCAATAGAGAATTTGAAAGATATGACTGCCACTTACGGTTAGAAATATAGGCGTCACAGAATCAACCTATAAGTGAGGAAACAAGGCATTGTCTCTCTCATTGGAAGAGAGAAAAGAGAAAAGGTCAGAGGGACAGACACTAATTTGAGGGAACATTTGCATTCATGGATTTGAAGGCAAGGGAAGATTTGGGTTTGGGAAGTATGTGCAATGCCTTGGAAACTAAGCCTAGTTTAAGTTTCCAGGAAGTGGTGTCCAATATTATTAAGTACATGAGAGATATCTAAGTGGAAAGGATGCTAGATTTAGCAATAAAAATTTCATTGGTGACCTTTGAAAGAGCAATTTTCATAAAATGAGCATGGCAGAATTGAATTTTCAGGGGATGATAGTTGAGAAAGAGGGAGAAAGTCTGTTTCTTGTTTCAATAATTCTGACAAGGGACGAAAGGAAAGGAACTGGATTTCCCTATTGGACTCAAGGCCCAATGTGCATTTCCCATTTAGATGACACATTGTTTCTTCCTAAAGGAGTAGGGTTTTTGGAATCTTTTTCTCATTTCTTAACATTTTGTACACCAATGGAGAAAAATCAGTGTCCACCTGAGGTTATTACTGACCTTCTACCAAACAAGCTCTTCAGACTCTGAACCCCAGGCTGCAGGCTGCTGGCTGACTTCTGTTTCTCCCTCCCAGTTCTGACATCTTCACAAACTGGCTCATTACTTTCCAGGTCCTGTTGGTATACTGTTAAAGAGATGACTAGGTCACTGGACTATTTTTGTGAGTGGATTCAGATCAGTATTGCAAGATTAGCTTGGTCATAAAAGTGAGTGTGGTTTCTTCTTGCCCTTCTGTGAATACGCTGCCTTCTGTTGTGTCATGATGTAGTAAGAAGACCCTTGCCACATGTGGCCCCTGGATCTGAGACTTTGCAGCATCCATAACTGTGAGACATATAACCCTCTATCATTTACAAATTATCCAGCACAGAATGGATGAAGGCAGAGACTGGTGCTGAAAATTGGAACTGTTGCTGTCACAGATACATGAAGATGTGGAAGCAGATTTGGAAATGGATAAAGGGTTGAATAGTTGAAAGATTTTGGAGCAATAGGCTAAGAAAAGCCTGAATTTACATAAAAGGCGCATCAAGAGGGCAGCTTAGAAGAAAATAACTTTAGGGAATATCTAGAGCATCCTAGGGATCACATAGCATTTATCATCAGACTTGTGGCAGAGATATGGACAGGGACAGGGAACGGCATTTAAAAATTTATTTTTTATTTTTATTGAGCTTTTAAAATTTCATACAATACTTTCCACTCACATCCAGACCCCCTCCCCATCCATGCCTCCACCCCACCCCCTACTCCCACCAAACCCTATGCACTCTGCCATACATGCTGAGTCCTGTGCATTCAGGTGTTTGTACCCAACTAGGTGACACATCTTCAGTTGAATCTCTACAACCAAGGGTCATGGAACATAGTGGAACAAGGTGTAGAGAGAGAGCTAATGCACCCCTCAACTCTCACCATGAGGCTTCCATGTACATCAGAGTGTGTTATACACAGAAGGCCTCAACTGGCCAAGTTTTGGAGAATAAGAGACAGTAGAGTGTAGGATGGGACTCCTATATGGAACCTCACCCCCCCATGGCTCAGGGACCATTGCAGAAGAGGTGGAAAGATTGTAAGAGCCAGGCCTGTTTGTGAATGTACAAGGTGGAGGCTTCCAGGCCAAGGGAATGACATTTTGATGAAACTGTAGAACAAGGAATCATCCATAGTTGATGGCTGCTAGCAGAAGGAGAGGCTATTTCTTTAGCCCAGATAGGCTAACCGTGCCTCAGTAGATGGTCTCCAACTTGTGAATTCATGGACAGCACTGGCTGCACTCAGTGGGTTATAAATAAAGAGGACATGAAGTTGGGAGGGGTAATGCTAGGGAAAATTCAGGATGAGTTGGAGTGGGGGAGTGGGAGTGAATATAATCAGAAAACGTATTCATGTATGAAAATTTCAAAGAATAAATAAAATTACTATATTTTTAAAAAGCAGAGTAAAGGCCATCCTTGTTAGATGGTTACACCCTTGTTAGATGGTTACCTGACAGAGGAAATATCTAAGTAGCAAAGTATCCAAGGTAGCCATGGCTTCTTTGGGATGTATATGGTAAAATAAGAGAAGAGAGGGAGAGACTGAAGGATGGAATTCACGATTAAGAGAGGAGCACATCATTTTTATCTGGTGAGATTAAGGATTTTGGAGTTTGAGTTGAGGCTGCATTAAGACTTCGAACATATTTTGTACGTGAGATGGACATGAATTCTGGAAGGCAGGTGGAATGTTATCGTTTGAATATATTACTCAAAGTTTTTATGTTAAAAACTCAATCACCAGAAAAGTCATGTTGAGGATGACACTTTTCAGAGGTGATTAGGCAGTGAGGACTCTTATGAATGGATTAATGAGATTATTGCAAGTGGCCAGCCTTGCTAGAAAAGCACACTTGACCCTCTCTTTCTCTGTTTTGCATTCTCGTTTATCATAAGATGTCTGTTATCACATTATGACACAGCAAAAGGCTCTCAACCGGATGCAACCCTTTGCTCTTGGACTTTAGATCCATGAGCCAAAAATGATTTCCTTATTTATAAATTACCCATCTGTGATGCTAGTCTGTTGTACAGCACAAAATACCTGAAGATCATGACTGAGCTTTCTAACAAAGCAGCTCTCTCAGACTCTAAATCCAGGCTGCAGGCTGCTGGCAGGGCCTTCCCTTGCTCTCCCAATTCTGACATCTTCACAAATTGGCTTGTCACTTTTCAGGTCGTGTTGATACATGGGAGTCTCTTTCCTTGATCTTAGCTCTCTGTTCCTAATTTCAGGCTTCATTTATAAAAGAAAATCCCTGCTAAGTTAGTTATACTCTACTTTTAGATTCAGTGAGACATTTAGACAATGTTGCCTCACTAAGATTTCACTTTTATATTCAGAATTCAACTGAAACTACTTCCAAAACATCACAACGTCTAACTCTTTGTTTATACCCCTTTTTAGACACCCATACACTATTGCATTTCTTTTGGAGACATTAATCTTTGTAGATTTTAAAATATAAAATATAGCTTTTGTTGCTGAAGTACAATTTTCGTTCATATTTTTAAATAATTTTTGCCTTTGATTGGCACCCTCTTGTCACAACAGTCTCCCTGCTGTTCATGATACCTCATGACATAAACATCTGGGGAAGGAAGCTGCAAGAAAAAAATTATAGCAGCAAGGACTCAGTGTAACTCTGAGTCTTGAATATGTTGGAAAGAGAAAAATCATTTTAAATGTTGCAGTGTTACTAAGCTATATAACAGTCATACCTGAATAATCAGCCTGACTCTTAGCATTAAGGCCAAGAGTAGATCCGAACTCTAGAGAGTTTGTTCTTTTAGATCTCTCAGGGGACTGTGTTCCTGAGCCAGGCCTTATCAGTAATTTTATTCAAATGGTATCTCCAGCATCAGTTGAGGAAGTTGAAGCTAGGGCCACCTCCATCTCATCAAATAATCATGCCCTTTGATCCCTGGTCTAAAATATCTCCTACACACAACGTCAAGCATACTTCTCAACTTTCACTGTTTTCAATGAGAATATCATACTGCTTCCAGCACTTTGATGTGCTAAACAAACACCCTCACATTCACTCCACTGGGTGGAGGGCAAGGTGGGGTCTAGAGGTATCAAAGTCAGGTGCCCAGGTCACAAGAGCACATGGCTTAGTGATCTTGTTTGCATTATAAACAGTAGATTTTTGGTACAACATTAAGTAAAAGTCATTAGTCCAGATTCTGTCCATATTGTAAATCATTCTTACAAACTGTATGTAGAAATTAGTTCTCGGTTAACAGAGAATACATGCAATGAGGAAATGGGCAGGTTTCTCACGTGAGTATCTAGAAGCAGATTTGACAGGAGCTGTCTTGTTTCATGCTGATCACACATTTTCCTCATGCCATGTTTGTACCCATGACTAAGAGGTCTCCTCAGAAGTTTCCTTACCATACTTTTCCACTTCATTTCTGAGCCTAAGACTTCATACTATAGATCAAGAGCTTCCTGGAAGTGACATGGTTCACATTGCCTGGCGTCTCCAGCTTCTGGGAATGCTATCTTCCATACCTTCACCAGGAAAGGACATCACTATGGATTTACCCTTAACTGGGTATGCTTGCTAGTTGGGAGCAACACACACTTGTTAGTGTCTTTAGTGTTCTCTAGCCTCATAGATGAGACTCTCACAACCTTCTTGGTCTTTGTCACCTTGAGACAACATCAAGTGTTGAGTGTCGTGTGATTGTCTACAAATTCCGGAGTATAGTCCATGTGAACAAGACTGATATATAGTACCTTTCTCAACTGTCTGATCCTAACAGTTGTCCATGTGATATCTCCATTTCACTTCTGTGACACTGTGATGGCCCATATCTGTGACATCCTATGTGAAAGTGTCTTGTATGAATGATATGAAGTAAAAAAAATATTTTTAAAAATTACTTTTATTTTATGTGTATGAGTGTATTGCCTGCATGTATGTAAGTGCACCCATGTTGTACAATGCCCAGGCAGGTCAGAAGAGGACTTCAGATTCCCTTGGAACTGGAGTTACAGATTGTTGTTAGCTACAATGTGGGTGCTGGGAACTGAGCCTGGGTCCTCTGCAAGAGCAATCAGTGCTTCTAACTGATGAGCCCTCTCTCCAGCCCCTGTAAAAATATCATATTCGCTACATATAAGTGTACAGGCTTGGTCTGCATTCCTACATCAACGCCCATCACCTCCCTTATGCTGAGGACTCTATCATTTGGATCTTATCACCTATGCGTCCATCTTACCATGGTCTCTGACCTGTACAATTATGTCATTATTGCCCAGCTCAAACCTAAGAGGATGAATCAAATACAAAAGAAGCCTTTTCCCAGAGACTCAGTGATCACTACTCAGCTTCAGATCCCTATTGTTTACTGTTTCAGGTGCACAGAGGCCAAGGATACCACACATGCAGCTGTGGACTGAAGAATTTCTTAATAGATTTTCTTATTTCATCAGGAGACCTTTAGTCTGGGGTGACATTTTTCCTGCTCACAAACATTTCATATCTCACAAGTGGACAACATAGAAAGCTTTGTTTTGAATTGGCTCAAACACTTGGCCTGTTCTACTCAAGCTCTCAAAAGAAGGCAGGTGCTAGGCTTCTGTTCTGTTGCTCATTACCACACGCAGCAGCTCTTGAGGTGTGCTTTGATGACTTCTTCTTATGGGTGAGCATTTTGATTGAAAGTCCTCCTGGCTCCCATTTCACCTGGCCATTTGGCACTTGACTTTTGTCTGTAGTGGAGCAGACTGAGTGATGATGATAAGAGCAATAACTTCAGTTAAGGAATCCCAGGGATCACCTGAGACTCTCAGTTCCATTATTTGACCCTTAATAGACATCTCAAAAAGCGTTCCTTACCATTTGATAGTTGAAAAATAAAGACTTTCAGAAAAGAAAGGTCTTTCTTTCCATGGAACCATTCCTGACAACCACTTAAATTGTGGGTATTTAGATGGAACGCCCTTTACTTATGTAGGAGAAAACAAAGATCTTTAAAAAAGCACATTATTCTTGTAGTCCTACAAGCTGATCCAAGGGAGAACAGACGGATGATTCTTCTCAAGGAATGGTATCTGTATCCTATATGTCTGTTCTCTTAAAAAAATTATCATTGAATTTTTGTGTATTTCATTCAAAACATCTTAATCGTCTTTGTACCCCCTTCCCCATCAACTCTGTCCCATAACTCTCCCCATCCCCAACCCCACTGGATTTCATGCATTTTGTCATTTATATTAAGGCCCAGTGAGTCAAGTTAGTGTAACCAGACATCCCTCAGTGCAAGTTAATTCACTGGGGTCTAGTCTGCCTATTGAGTCCCTCCCTTAAAGATAAGTTCTCCCTCACCCAGCAGCAATCAGATGCCAGTAGTTCTTGACCTTATGTGTGGTACTGTAAACATAGCAAAATATACATGGCTGGAGATGTCATAGATCTTAGAGAAAACCTTAAGGCATCATCATCACCATCATCATTATCAGCAGCAGAGGCTGTGACAGTTACTTTCTTCTCTTCTCTCTACGTCATGCAGGAAGATTAGCTATTACTTCATCTGTTCTTCAGTATTTTGAAACTATCTTTGATATTTCATACTTACAGAATCATTTCTGTTTGAAAACTATGTCTTTTAGTGGTAGTATCTGTGATAGTTTTACTCAAAATATAAGTTACTGAGTATTTGTAATGCATAACCCACCACTTTAATCTAGATAGGACCTGTACCCTTAAGAGTTTCAAGGGAGAGACTAACATAAAAATGTGCAGAAGGTGAGATAAATGCACATTTGCAAGGTGGGACTGTTGGATTAAGGCTTGGTGAGAAAAGGAAGGAATGCTCAGGTCTATATGGGACAGTCAAGAAAGGGGAGAAAACTAGAGTTGAGACACGTATTTTCAACTATGTGAACTGAACTGGGTAGTGAGAAAGTGTTTGGCAAGCAGTCTGCTACTGATGATGAGGGTGCTGGCATGGGCAGGGTCCAGTTGCGGGAAAGGATCTAATGCAGTTGAAGTTTTAGAATATCATCAATCATCAAACAGGGACTTACATCACTTAAAAACAATCCATAAAATTTATGTGGTGTCAGAGCTCATCTTTTACATACATTTTCTAATTTGAATTTGTAATAATTTTTCAAGCATTTTTTCCTTCCTTTACTGTTATTATTACTATGCTATAGTTGCTGTTAACAGTCCTGGTAGAGCAAATTTATTATGAGCTAGACACTGTCCTAAGTTGTTGACAAGCATTTTCTCTCTTCCTTTTCACAGAAACTCTATGAAATAAGTACCATTACTATAATTCGCATTTTAGGCACAGAAAGTTTAATACTTGCTGTAGAAGCCGATTAGTGAATGGGACCCTGGAACTGGCGCTCAGGCACTCTTGAATTCACAGCCCACGAAAATGTTTGAACCAAAGTTCATGCACTATGTAACAGAAGGAGCTTAGGAAGAACTGAGTCTATAACCCACAGGCTGACTCTAAATGTCGTACCCAGATTTACACACACATAGCATACACATACCCTTTTCTTAATTCTTCATTTTTCTGCACCAAAATACATCTCAATTTAAACATTATTAATAAAAACATCTCAAAGACACCTTCCTCTTTTTGCCATTGCAAGCAAAATCACCACACTCAACAGGTTCCCTAAATGTTTACTCCATCTGGGGAAGTGATATGTTAATATCTGTTGGGATTCTTCAGGTTCATGAGAGGTGATGCTTCTGGATTATGTTATTCAGAGTTTTAGGATTTTTCCGTGTGTGACTTAGAAAACTTTACTGAGGTAGAACATACAAACCCAAAAGTTCACTGGATTTTATTATCTATGGGGTTGTGCTGCTGTTGCTAGAATCTAATTTTCTATCATTTTCATTACCTTAAAAAGAAACCCTGGACCTAGTAGGAGGTACACCTCATTACCTGTTACCTCAGATCTAGGCGACTGCTGTTCTGTCCTAGTTTCTATGATGGGTTGTCTATTCTGGGTATTTCACGCGCATCTGGCTGCGGTCGTTTGTGAGGCTTCTTTCATTTTACATGTATTTTCAAGGTTCATAACGCTGCAGCTCTCCTCAGGGCTTTACTCTCGTTTATGAGTGAAGAATACTCCATTCTACAGGTGTATTAGTTATTTTCCTGTT